AGCTGTTCTCACCACTGGAATCTGGTACTGAGTTTTCACAACTACATACTTTAATTGAAAAATGTGATTTCATCAGGTACATTGATATTAAACCTTTGCGTGTCCATTCTGCTTATTATGAACACACAGTTACAGCGAAACTTAGGCTACAAGAAAATCCATTTATCCAGCCCTACTGGAGCAGTTTTTGTGGTTAAGGGCCTTGTTCAAATGCCCAACTGTGACATAGTTATTATGCCATGCATTGGGGTTTGAACCAACAACCTTCAAGTTAGAGTGGATTATTAATGGATATCATTAACACAGCACAATGTATCTATACCAATTTCACATAATGTGTACTGTAATTGTTAAATGATCAATCCAAAGTTTGATATAAAGTATGAGGAGGTGCTACTAAACCGGCAGTCTTAACTTAGAGAAGTTAGCATATCAGATCCACACATCCTTCAGCCACCAATGTGGTCGAACTGAGCCATTGCAGGTTTTTCCAACTGCTTGGGGGAGGGTGCTAAGGTAAACTGAAAATCTGTGGCTGATTAAGACAGCTAAAAAGTACATTTTCACATTACAGCCACAGCAGGAACAAGTTATCTCAGAAATAAAGCAAAAGCTGAGTTTTACAGTATCTGATATATGTTCCTTTCTTGACCTTCACCTTTTGACCGCAAGCCTAACCACATCCACCCATATTTTATAGGCTTTCACGATGTATGATGTTAATATCAACATGACATTTCATGCACATGCAATTATTGCACTTCAAGGAATGCAATAGTCTGCTGGGTTCAAGCCATCAATAAGTGTAAAAACTCAGTCATAAGAAACAAACCTTAGCAAGCTTTGCAATTGTAATGATGAATAGCTTAGAATATTATATAGCAGGCCTATATTTAAAAAAAAAATAAATCAGTCTAAAGTTTACGGCTGATGCTGTTGCCTGAGCTCTGATGCTCTGTCCAAGAAAATCATAATTATTCACACCCTTGCTATTGGACCGTTTCTGAGACATTTAACAAAAGTGAATTGAGAGGAGAAAAGTGAACAGGAACTGGTCACAAGAAGACATTTGTCTTCTGCTGTATGGGAACATTTTGTATTCCGTAGAGTTGATATTGAGCAAAAGCAAGTGATTTGTCAGCACAACTCGCAGGAAACATCACCAACTTATTCGACATACTATTAGTATAGATGAGCTATATTTCACTATATAGTTAATATAATGGAAATATCGCAATATGAACATATTTTCCAATATGTTCACAAAACATAGGTAACCTTTGATGTGCAGTGATTATTTTGATATACAAGAATCGCAGAAAGTAAATTAAACAAAATTATTTGAGTCATAGTGTTGGCAAAGGCAGGTTAGGCTACACCAAAAGGCTATATAGCACAAATCTATGGCTAACCTTGCATTATTGAGTGAAACCATCAAAACTAAAGGTCTTCTTTTAAGATGTATTTTCATTGCAGTCATGCTGTGGTGATATTTATGGTCTGATTGAACTTCCATTCACCTTTAAAGGGATGTGATTCCACACAACTGATTCTTGCACGCTTTATCGGGACCACCATCTGCTATGTGCCATTTTCCTTCTGCCACGTTGCCAAGTAATGGAGAAGAACATTTTTAAACAATGCTTTTTAATAATCAAGTAATCATGACAGCTCTAGTCACGTTAGAAATTTTGTCAGTAACATTCTAAGAATCACAGTATTTAAGCAACAAAACAAGATAACTGTTACTTTTGGATGATCTCAATGTCGAAAGTGCACACAAACACAACAGAAGAGGAATATCATGACTTTCACTGCTGTAAGACACCAGAACCATTTAAGATGACCTCAAACAGAAAGCACAAGAAATTACAGAAATACTAATATCAAACTCGGACAGAGACTATGGATTCACACGTCTATTAAAAAAAAAAAACAGGTAAAACATGGGCTGAAAGCAACCACACCATATGACTGTTCACAAATCATCAAAACCAAGCTTTGGACAAAACTTTCTGTTGTAACGGAGGAGGAGGACTTGCTCCATGTGGTCATCAGACATTCTGGTATGAAATGAGGTAAGTACACTTCCTCCATCACTGAACAGACGTTCAACTGGTGCACTTGAGGGTATAGTGGTATTATACTTCAAGAAAAGCTGCTTAACCAAGGGATATGCATGCAGGGAATTCAAGCTCTTCTCAGTATCATAAAGGAACATCCGGACCTCCTTCTCTACTGTCCATTTCTCAGCCTTATTTGTCTTCCCAAACACAAAAAACTCTTCATCTGATCCATCAGTCTCAGAGCTGATGACCACGTCAGCTGCAGGTGACCTGGATTTCAAAGATGTTGCCTCCTGGACAACCGTCTTGCACATATCCTCTCTCTTCTCTGGAGGAAGCCAACACAAACGAAACTTTGGCATGGTGGTTGTTGCCATTTTTGCGTCGTGGCTGTTCAACATGGCACTGAACTGACTGTCAAGTGCCTCAATGACAGCAGTGATGATGTTTGCTGTGTAGGTCACATGTGGCAATTTGTCAGAGAGCTTAAACTTGAGGCTTAAGATTGTTGGAATGAGGAAACCTAGAAACCATTTTTTCTCCCCCTGCAGAACATCAATGGATTGGGCAAGAGGTTGTAGCACAGCTACATATTCTCTGAGAAAAGCTATCTCATGAGGGTTCAGCCCGGTGACTCCCAACCTTCCACAGATGTCAAACAGCTGATCATCTGCGAGACCAATCAGTTTTGCAATGGCCAGATATTCATAGCTCCATCTTGTGACACATGGAACAGAAACCCTCATATTGGCAATATCTTGCACTACTTCTGCAGCTGCTGATGACCAGTGAGCCTTGTTCCATATAGAAGCACACTTTCCCATTGCACTTTGGTACACTTTCTGGAATGAGCCTCTTGATGCTGCTTTATGTACCTCATTGGTGGCAATCAGATTGAGTGTGTGTGCCGCACATCTTTGATGTGAGGGCAGAAAGAAATGAAGCTCTTCATCTCCCTCCATCTCCAGAACTGCATCCATATCAAAGAACGTTACACCATCATCAAACTCATCTAGTGCTGCCTCTTCAGGCGTTTCAAACTCACGAAAAGGTTTAACAAAGTTACTCCCGTTGTTTGTCACTATGGCCCTAACTTTGTGCTGCACTTGGTACTCTGCATGTATTTCACAGATTTTCGCGGCAAGGACGTCAAAAGTATGGTGTCCCTTCACACGGGCACAGGCCAAAGCTACAGACCTCCTCTCAAAACTGTCCTTCTCGATCCAGTGACATGTCATGCCGAAGAAGCTTCTGCCATGAACAGTCCACAAATCTGCTGTTGTGCACACATTAGTCACAGTCTGAAGTTTTGCAGTCAAGGCTTCCTTCATAGCAGCAAATTCCTTCTTCATATGCTGGAACAGTGATTTTCTGCTCAAGACCGTCTGGCTTCCACTGATTCCCTCTATGAGATTTTTGAATGAAGGCTGCTCCACCAGTGAGAAAGATTGAACATCATCAATCACAAATTCAAATATTAGTTTACTGACAGTACTTTGAGATGTGCTCTGTTCAACTTCAAGCATTTCTTCTTTGAAGGGCAGATGCAAGGCCCCTTGTCCTTCTCCAATGTGCTCGGTCGACTCAGACTGCCTGTTTTCTTCTTTGATCAGATGTAAGCAACTTGAATGTCTCCTCTGAAAAACGAAACACAAATTAAAAATCAACCATGGGTTATACTACAGTTAACCAACGCTTATTGGTATGAATGATCGATATAAACAACACAAAGATTTATTGTCATCTAAAATTTAAACGATAAGAAAACGAGAAACTTCTACAGATAAGGAACATTGTTTGGTAGCATACATCAGCCTATCGCAGAAATGAACGATATTCCAACCAATCAGTTGGAAAATTTTACTTTTAATAACAAGCTATGCCCAATATACATGATAATACACGTATAACATACAGAATGTAAGTTTATTTTTCGTTACCCCTTTCCCTAGAACAAGCAGAGAGAAAAACAGAAACAAACCGTAATGTCCGCGTTTTCTAGTGTTACTCTACGACAAAAAAGTTTATTTTGTACGATTTATTAAATAAATTTAGATTTCAGTTTGCAGTCCATTCAACTTATCGTCTTTTTTCATGTTCTAAATATTTTTCAGAGTAATCCTTAAGTAAACAAAACACAGTCATTACTTATTCCCTCTATGGGTTTTTTGAACGAAGGCTGCTGAACCAGTGAGAAAGCCTGATCAATTACAAATTCGAATATTTTAATAAAAAAAGGAATTTACTATCGATGTCAAAATATACGAAAAAACAGCGATGTTTTTGTTTGTCCCATCATCCAGCCATATTTATAGGCCACACTTATTCCGCTGTTTTAGTTCAATCACGCAAACAAAACCTGGGCGCGTGTGAAAAAAGCGGCGGTCTTACCTGCAAATGTTTCTTCAGATTAGACGTGGAGTTCTTAGATGCTGACAGCATTTTCACTATTGGAAGGCATAAATTGCATTGGACTGTGATGTTGTTTCCCCTTTCGGTTACGAAGACAAAAAAGTGGCGAAATTTCCACGTAGTGAAGGCATTTTTCATAGCGGCTGCCATGGTGAATGGTTCACTTTGAGAAGAAAAGAAACGTCTCGAGGGAGCTGCTGTGTACTTGTGCGCTATCTACATGAAACCCTTCTTCGTTTTAAAAGTTATTCTAAGTGTAATCCCGGTAATAATCTCCACTTTTCCAAACGCAGTCGTATTACGTCCTTTTTTTCCCACGTAACTAACAAAATAGTTACGTTCTTTGTATCCTGAATACGTAACGCCGTCCCATGTATTCCGTTACTCCCCGAGCATACTAACCCGGATACTAATAGCCTTCTCGGACGTCTCTGCAATTTGCAAGCAGCATACAAATGCGAAGAAATCGATCAAATTTTAAGTTGCACGGCAGCGTCCTTTCCAGCGCGCTGCTGTTCTAAGTTTGCACGCCACCACCGTTCCCAGCGACTCCAGGTTCGTCCGTCTCGTGCGCGTTTCGGGATCTGCGGGAGCGCGCACGCGTCTGCGCGGAGGTATTCCTAGCTCGTGTGTGAGTGTGTGAATGTGTGTATGTGTATATGTGTGTGAAAGAGAGAGAGAGAGGAGAGAGAGAGAGAGTCTGGGCTTCGGGAGACCGGAACATGGAAGATGAAGAGGTTGCCGAGAGCTGGGAGGAGGCAGCGGACAGCGGGGTAAGGCTGCGCAAGGTCGCCAATCAAGTCGTTTCGATCGGCCGTGACTGTTACTCGCTGCACCTCCGCCGGCCGCGATGGAGTGAATAAAAACGTGAAGCGGCGCGAGCGAAGCGAAGTGAAAGAAGGGGGAGGCCCCATCGTGTACTCTGGGGGTGCCGCACGGGAAGTAGGCCACCAGAAAAAGGGGGATGGTGCCCAGAGGTTATTTTAGGGGATTCGTGGAAGCGGAGCCGGCCATGGGGCGGACGGAGCGGAGCTGGGGTGAGCTTTAGCGCCTTAGCCGGGCGAAAGGTTTCCGCCTGGGCCGTGCTGTTAGCCGGCAGCCTGTACCTGTTAGCGCCCTGGACGTGTGCCTCGCCGGTGGCTGACCAGTTTTTATTCGTGTTTCCTTTCCCTTAACGATCTGATTTATGTGTTTATATTTAGCTCTAGGCTGGCCCTACCTCTTTCTAACTGTGGACCACCTGTCTCAAGGCGGTCGATCCGCCCAAGATCATCCATAACAGATGCCTCCGACGGGTTAGTTAATTTAACGACATGACCTGTGGGTAGTTTATAAGCGGGCCGGAGAGATAGAGGGATCCCCTTTCGAATGAGGAAAATATAGGCGACGTCGTTGGAAAAACAGGGTGGTTAGAGGGTTTCCGCGCCCTGGGAATCCGAATACATGGCTTTTCTTGGCAGTGGATGTATAGGAAAGGGGCGCCAGTGTACGCAGAACGGCTTGGAGCCGCAGTGTAAAATAAGAACATGGCTAAATGTGTGCTGATTTTCGATCCCATGAGCCCTTGCGACACCGAGGATTCCCCCCTCCCCATACCACCATCACAACCCCACATTACGGACCTGCGAAATGCTGCCGTAATGTTTCACCTGGTGGAAATGGGATTTGACCTACTGCCACAAATCGGGTTGGACTTCAAATGTAGAAACTAGGCTATAGACGGGGTTATTTAATTGCATGGAAAATGTGTATGGGGATAATGGAACCGGGGAATCCATTTTTAAATGCTGGGATAAGATTGAATAGGTGATCATTAATGTTTTGTTGTAAACACTTGAGTTTTTGTAGTCTGTGTATCAAGGTTTAAAGCCTGTACTTCAGTGATATAGTTGGGCTATTTGAGAAATCCGCATAGCTGTTGTACTCTTCCTGTTGCTGAGTGGGATGTATATGATTAATTTTTTGCACGTGACCATAAAAGTATTGACCAACTGTCATTTTGGCTCTCATTTGTGTTTGTTTGTTGACAAAGTTTGGCTACTTTGACTGTCGTGAGACAGTGAAGATCCCCCATGTGTGATAATTGTCATAAAAAGTTCACACGTTTGATGATGAAATCATGGTTCAGCTGACCATTAACAAATGTCCAATACTGTAAAACAACCATAAAATCTGTCATGAAATCAGACACAATATATATGTTTTCTTGTATGTTGAAAGGGTGTGTCATACATTTCATGGTATTGGCCAAAATTATTAAGCAGCAGTAGTGAAAGCTGTAATTGGCTAATTACCTCTGTGCTGGTAGTATATTGGCTGTTTTTTAGTGCTAGATCTTATAAAGGAACTTAAAGTATGCATGTTTGTGAGCCACAGAGCGTGGAAAAATATCCTCTGCGTATGCTTCAACTGTGATGTTTGTATACTTCTGAGGTTGCTTTCGGAATACAGGCAGTCCCCGGATTAAGAATGTCTCACTTACAAACAACTTGTACTTACGAATGGATTGCCATAAAGACTGCATCAAAAATTTGAGTGAAATACAATGGGTCATAATAATGAATGCACACACCATTTTGTAGCTGTAATGAAAACATTGTGTGTTGGCTTAAGGTACAGTGCAGTACTGTATGTAGTTACTTTTATTATTACTGTATAATTATTATTATTAATATGTACTGTATTATTCTTTTTTTATTATAGCTGTTTTAGTGTATTTGGGAGTGTTTAAGTGTTTTATATACATAGAAAGGTTAAATATATACTAAGACAAACAGATGGTCCACATTTTTGCTCTCGCCCAGCTCCCAGGAAAATGTGAGGCCCCCAAGGACTGGTTTGAGAAACACTGGATTAACTGACACTAAATAAGAACCATATGTACCTATTCTGACTTACCTACGAATCTGACTTAAAGACAGACTTAGGGACCGTATCTTGCTTGTAACCGGGGGACTGCCTGTATTTGCAGAGCTGAAGTACATGGTAGATATGTACTTTAGTCAGAAAGGAAAAGCCTGTTGCTTTGTGCTGCCTTTTTAGCTTGATGCTGCTGCTAACATTCAGGCCCAGTAGACTCGCTGTCATCGCTGGTCAGTATGACTTTAGGGACCTGAAAGCTCCCCGTAAAACTTGCCCAGGCAGCTCATAGTGACAAAATCAACATGGTGTCTAAAAACTTTGGAAGAGAGGAAAAGGACAGATCTATCAATGTGATACGCAAAGGTGATGTCTTATTAGTTTAGTTGGGGAAGAGATGCATTAGTGCATTTGTGCTTCCACTTAAAACTTTACTTATCCCCAGGGAAATTGTTGTGCCAAGACATTGCTCTCATTTTGCTTAAATATATCAACAAAAATGAATACAATGTAATACAAGAATGCAATTTTATGCAATCCAAGTACAATACAATGGTCGTTCATAGTTAATATGGCATTGAATTTAAATAAATTGCTTCTGGAATCTATGCTAGCTTGACTGAAGATGGGGTGTGATGTTAATGTCAGTGAAAGAGAAGACGTATATGGCTTTAATAAATGTATACGTATGCTTTTTTATTCAGTTGTTATATTGTTTGTTCTTCGGTAAATTGAAGAAAACGGCTTGCAGTACTGAAACCTACAGCCTTCTGTCAACCGATTTTATTTATTGAGTATTTATTATGGACCAAACAATAAAAAGTAAGCCAACTTGTTTGTTTATGTAGTTGGCTATCTGGAAATTTGTTTTATTGTGGAATAGACAAAATCACTTGCATTGAACTTTTTGACTAAATGCACATTTTACCAGAGAGGCAGCAAGGGTATGGACACGTTATGTAATGCCGTTATATATTTATTTTGATGCCATTTTGGGGCAGCTGGCGACAGAGACGTTAATCACCCTACCTGGTGCCATAATGTTATGTGTGACTGACTCTTTGAAATGTCGTCTTGGCTCTGTGTATGTGACCATAGCAGAGAAAGCAATAAATAACCGTTCACAAAAGTTTTGCTAAATGTATCACAGACATAATTTATTAGCAACCTCAAAAGTATTTTGGCATTTTGTTATTTCTCAAGTATTTAGTATTTTTCAAGTGTAGCAATGTTTCCTAAAGTATTGTCTTAAGATTAAAAGAAAATCTGTTCTTTACTCACCTGTCATAATTTTAATTTATTTGAATGAATAGCACAACAAAAACTAAACCTTGCAACTATTATACATTTAGTAGCAAAGTTAATATAATGCATAACATATTATTATGTAGTTACTTGGCTGTATTTGTAGATGTACTGCTTTTGGAGTGTTAGGTAGCTAATTGATGTCTATATACTGGTTGGTGGCATAAAGCAATTCATTTGCTAGTGTAAGTTTCATTTTCTAGTGACAAACGAAAATAGGTCATTTAAACAGGATAGTGTTTCATCACAAGATAACTTAAGTCTGCGAAGGAGAACTGGGATATGTGCCCAGCCCAGCGTGTCAGGGAGGGCACCTTGCTCGTAACGAAAACCGTGTGCCATTCAAGACCTCTGCATGATGTGTATGTACTGACCTGTGCACACTTTTTAAATTAGTGTTTTCATTCTGAGGTCATTTTCCTTCCAACTGTGAATTGTTTTATTTTGGTGGACCGATGGTGAACAATGTGAAGAAAACTCTTTATAATAAGAAAAGGTGGAGGAGGAGCACTGTGACATTTTAGAAAGTTTGTTCCTGTTCGTGTTGCCTGGATCCCAAGATCCAAGTATTTCATATGGGTGTTGCCATTTCATGTGGGATTTCATGTGGGATTTACACTGTGTTTTGGCCTTTTGGAGGAATCCTCTACTGCCCCTCCCTGTCAATCCACGGATTTTCCGTCTGTGTCAAATGAGTTCTTGTCTAATGTGATTATTTCACGCAGGAAATAGAGAGAAGACTGGAGGCAAAACTGATGATCAGCCAAAAAGAAAAGTGAGTGAAGCTTGTGAATATTAATCCGAAACCAGAACCCTCCCGGTGTGCTGTCTGTCCTGATCAGCCGCCTTTCCGACAGTCACCCACACAGACATGCAGTGTGTGCTAGGGCTAGGCAATATGGTCATATTTTCGGTAATCGACAATATCAGACAAGTAACCAGTTGTAGTAAATAATGTGGCGCACACGTGTTCATGAGGTTCAAATACTGTTTGACTAAACATTTGACTGGATAACGCGTGAGTTAAGTTCGATTGAATATGCTATGATTGTTGGAGCCAGACACGGTGCTTCCAGACTCCTGCACCCTCCTGGAATTTAATGCACTACAGCAGAGTTTCTAGGTATGTAGGTTTACCTAAAAAGTGGCACTGAGGCCTGGAACCTATCCCAGCGGCACAGGCAGGGGGCGCTAGCTAGGTGTCCTTAATGTAAAGATTAATGATAATAATGAACTGCTGAGCATTGATGGCTATTAAGTGTAATAATTAACATTCATTTTAATGGGGAAAAACACATACATGTTTTTAAAACACAATTACGGGTATTCCATTACTAAAAACACTTGTTTTACTGTTATGGGAACGGAAAATATTACATATGGGCTTCTAGCAAGCACATGTTCAGTATAACAATCCTGAAATCCATTTATCCAATTGTTTAGTCAAACTTAATTAGGAGTTTAGGGTGTGTTTAGTGCGGACCTGAGACCAAGGTTTAGTTTTATAATTTTTTAAAATAAAATGGTGGATGATTAAATTGTCACTTATTTTAATACATAAAATTACACAATCTCCTGCCGACAGGAAATCGAACAGTGGCTCCGGCCGCTCGCCCATGAGGACAGCCATCGTGATCCAGGACGACTCGCTGCCGGCCGCCCCCCCGCCGCAGATCCGCATCCTGAAGCGGCCCCCCAGTAACGGCTCCCTGGGCTCGGGGACGACCTCCACCCGGCCCGTGCCGCAGGTGAAGTCGCTGGCTCAGCGTGAAGCGGAGTACGCAGAGGCCAGGAGGCGCATTCTGGGCAGCCCCAGTCCCGAGGACGCGCCTCAGGAACGCCCCAGCGCGGACAGGTACACCTCTGGGGCCATTTCAGGTCGTCCTGTTCTCCTCGGTCAGTCATATCCCCATAAAATGGACCTCTGCTCCTCGTGTGTGGAGCCCCTTACTGCATCTTACCCAGTTACAGAGCAGAAGCATACAATGTGTTGTTTCTGCCCCCGCAGGCCCGTGCGAATGAGCGCCCCCGCTTCCTTGGAGGACTGTCGGCCAAACAATCACGCAATCCGCCAGCCGACAGGCCCAGACGGCACACAAGGCTTTCGCCAACGCAGATAGAGGGAGGGGAATTCTCATACTGGGTGGGGGGATGTCCTGTCTTTGGGGGGCTGGATGTGGGTTTAAACTGGTTTAAAACAGGTATAATTCTGATTAGGAATGAATTAAAGTGTTACGAAAAAGAGAGTGAATTCCCTCCCTCGCCCTTCTGACGGTTACTCTCCCACCCCCCACGGCTCCCATGACCGAGAGGAGGGGGCTGAGGGGAGGAGGTGCAGGGCAAATCTCTCTTTCCCCGCTTGACACTGTGATGAAGCCCTTGCTTCTTCAGGACTCAGCTCACTGTGATACACCCCCCCCCCCCCCCCCCCCACGATTCACCCCCCCCCCCCCCCCACCCCAGGCACCACTTTCGACCCTGACCTGCCACCCTACATAGCTAACCAGGACTCCAGCTCCATTGAACAAAAGGGGGGGATTATTGGATGAGACTGGTATAAAATGGTGGTGGTGGGGGAATACAGAAGCAGTGGGGGGAGAGCTGAATGCGGCCATGTTGGGTCGCCATCCTTCTCAAGCAATAAAACTGATGTCACCGAGGATCACCACCTCGCACCCCCTCCCTCATCTGTTCACCTGTTAGCCTATCAAGTGTATTAACTATTGATGTTGCCTGTTTGTGTTTTATGTTCGATTTTGATTATGTTGCTGATTATATATATATATTTTTAATTGATAAGAGATGGTCAAAGGTAGAATCCAACAATAGGTGTGTGTACAGCTCTGGTTTATGGTTTTTGTCAAGGTTTTCTTTTTCCCTTGATCGATTTTCTTTTTTTCTGAAGAATGTTCTGATTTCTATGTAGAAAACGAATTACACAGGAGAGAGAGAGAAAAAATGAAATTAGCTATAAAAATGAATATGTTAGCAAAATATATTTTAAAGCAGCTTATTTTGGTTAGCGATTTAAAGATATTTTAATTGACGCAACCATAGGAAATTAGGAAGTGCGTTTTTGCAGAAAAAAATAAACAGTTTAAAGCCAAATGTTGTGTAAATACTCAAATCGTGGAAGGTTACTGGGGATTGTGATGCGAGAAGTTAAAAGCGCAGCAAGTGTTTTTAATGTTAAAAATCTTGACTGATTTGAAGGTCTGTGTTCGAAAAGGATTGTAATAATGATCATGTAACGCATTCTTGTTTTTTTAAGCATTTCTATTCAGTTTTCTCCTGTCTCTTCCAGTTATTAAACTAGGGTGGAGAGGGCTGGACTGGTGCACGTAAAAGCAGGAGGTGGCCGGAAATACGGCACTTTAAATGCATTCCCTGCGTGAGGAAAACGGGAGGAATCAGCTGGGTGGGAAAAAATTGCCTGGAGAGGAACAGCAACACTTTGGAGGTTAACCTGAAGCAGCACGTGCTTGGGTTTAGTACTACCAGACGCGTCAAATGCCTTAATGAAGATATTGCAACGGGAATAATCGTATTTCTCTTGTCGCTGTTATCTCTGCCACTTTGGGATCGTAGGGTCGTAATAGATACTGCTGGGTTATCAGAAACGTTATTTGTTTTAATTGTGTGCTGTCCACCTCTCCCGGACACAGTCCATCTCTCTTCCTCTGAACTTGTCACCATGAATCTGTGGACCCGCCCCCCTGCATTCACAGTACGACGCATTAATGTGGTGATTAATCTCTGTTGCAGCCGCCATTGAGTATGAGGTGATGGAAAGGAAGGATAGATTTTACTGTTTGAGCTTAAACACAGCGGAAAACCCGCCTGTAAATACTTCAAATGCCCTTTAATAAAGACAAATTTGAAGGAAAAGCCGATTGATTAAAATAATGGGGTGCACAGTTTTGGTTAGTTTAGACTTTTAATTTTTCTACTTTGTAAAATAAGTGTTTGCATGCATCTTTGCTTGCGGTGGTTCGCCAGCCTGGCCGACGTCATTCCCGTAAGTGAAGCGGCAAATACAGATTAGGAAAGCGCTTGAGAAAGGTGAGCATAAATCATGTTTGTTTTTAAGCATTTAATTACTTGGGTAGGATGCAGCATTCTTTTGGTGTTACTTTGACAATGTTGCTGTGATGTTGCGCTCATTGTATTTTTGTCCTTAAGTACCTATGCCAAATTTTCGGAAATTATTGGATGAGGGCCCTAAGAAACAGAATAAATGGGTTCCAAAACTGAAAAGGAAATGCGGTAATTTTCCTTTACTTAAGTGCCATGAGATCGTTTTGTGCCCGTTCATGACAGCATACTATAGCCTACGTTTTTGTGCAGGATTACGACCAGTCCAAAACGTCCGAACGCCGAATGAATGGACAGAGAGGATTTAAAAACCAGATGAAGAAGATTTTGCTGTGGTGGCCCGAAGGTGCCTTTTGTGCTCTTCCTTATCCCCGGTGTTTTTCTATATTTATGTTTGTTTCCGTCTTGTCTGATATGTACATAGCCTGTATCCTTGTTTCACTCCTGTCTGATTTGCATGTGTAAGTGACCGGCCCTGAGCAGGTAGCCTGGACCCACTGGCGGGCTGCCATTGCCTGACCGCCACTTCTGCTTGTCCCGACCCTGTTGGTCTCTCCACAATATTTCTGTTTCTGTAAGTTCTAGCCGTCTTATTTGTAATAAACCGGTGATCAAATCAAAGAAAATGTGTCGTATGGTGAAAGCTGATTTAACTGGTCTGGAAGGAACATTTCCCCCAAATATTCGATTGTGGTAAAAGACTTTCAATAAACCAATCATCATGGTTATAGGTATATTCTGTTTTTTTTTTTTTATTATTGCTCTTTCTAACCAGGAAGCGGTGATTTAGGGCGATCGAGTTTTAGACCTCGCGGATACTATATCCGCTAGGCTTTGCTCCAGTCACAGTCTTGATGTGTTTTGCATTGACGTGTGAAATGGTGATGCTGCTGCCAACTGCTTGGATTGTTACTGTCACGTTCACGTAGCCTGAAAACGAAATAACTAAATTTGGGCGACCAGTCTGGCGTAACTTTTTTTTTTTCCTGTATGTTACGTGTAGGCGTATATTTGTCATGAGTATAATTATATGTAGCTTATATGCATAATTGTACTTTTGCCCTAATGTTTAAAAATCTCATAATTGTGTATATATATTGTATTATAGCACTACTTAAATATATCTCAAGACGTTCCTTTCATAATTTTAAAAAAATATCACATTTACAGAAGATTGTGATGCTTGGGTAACTGAGGCATCAGGGTAGCGGTGGTGGAGGATGAAAGGAGACGGTTTCTCACAAAGTTGCTCTTTAATGTACATGTACATTGCAGGCAAATTCAGGGAGATTACACACCAGACGGGAAGGCTCACACACGAAAGGGTAATTACAGAACACTAGGGCACATCAGGATCACACATACCACACAGGTAAAGGCACACGTGACAATCAGGAGCGCCAACAAATATGTACAATGACTATTTACAGGACATACAAAGGGCTATATACAGCATGCCAGGATTCTCAATCCAACGCTACACTGCCCCACCCCCCCAAAAGGTCACCCAGTCTTCACCCAGGGGTCCACTGGCAGCTGCCTGTGTGTTACCTCCAATGACGGGAGGTCGTCAGTTCCCGATGTTCACGAGCACTGGCGGGGCTTAGCTGCTGGTGGGCGCTGGCGTGTCAGATCCCCCGACTGTGGACCCTTCAGCTTGTGTGCCTTAGGGAGATTGGGTAGCCCTTCCAGGGGGTTCCCCTGGCCAAGGAACACCACTCCCAAGGACTCCTTCAGCCAGGCCCCCTTCTCTAGGGACAGCCAGCGCACGGGGCTGCTGGAGACTCCTGGCAGTGCAGCTTCCTGCCAGCCTCGACCCTTCTTTCTACCCTGCTTAGTGGGGCCCAGATGTTGTACGGAAAGCTGGTCCTGCCACAGGGCCCCAGGTTGAGCGGCCCTGCACGGCCCCTCCTGCTCCAGGTGGGTGGCCTCTCAAAAGCGTGCCTCCTCCTCTTGTGGAGGTCCTTCGCGAGCTGGGCCTTCCATCTGGCCTTCACCTCTAGCAGTGGGGTCCTCCGCTCGCGGGTACGCTCCACGAATTTCTGGCACTCTTCAGCCAAAAAGACCTGGCAGCCGCGGCAGTTGTCCAGGCGGTCCTGCAGGTCGGAGTCAACCTCCTGCAGCTCCCGGCGCTCCTTGGCCAGCTAGCTTAAGAGCGAGGTACAGTATGACTCCTCGCGGCCCCGCAATCACTCCTTGTCGTTCTGCATCTCCTGGCGCTTCTGGGCAAGCTGGGCTTCCAAGCTGCAACATGCCTCCTCCTGGCCGAGCAGCACCGTCTTGCGACCCTGTAACGCCGCCTCCACTGCCTCGGCCAAACATGCTTGGCGGTCGCAATCCTGCTCCTAGCTGGCCAGCTCACCACGATGCTGCTCCAGTTCTTTCCGCTCCCGCACCGCAGGCTCCCGCAGTCGCTCCCAATCCTTCTGGTCTTGCTCCCGCTGCTTGTCCAGCTTGCGGTGCTCCTGAGCTAGCCAGGTCTCCCAGCTGTGGCATGCCCCTTCACACTTGAGCAGAGGAGCCTCTGCCTGCTGCTTGTACTGCTGGTGCTCGCAGCTGGGGTTGCGCCGCAGCTCATTGCGGCTGGTGAGTGATAGGCTGGCTCTTTGGCGGACCCCATTCTCGTTCACTGGCGTCATCTTCGGCGAAGGTCGAGCGAGCTAGCAGAAGTGGCTTGAAGTTGCACCACGCATATCCAGGGCACTCCAGGAAGACTGGGTGGCACCTCCATCGCTACGCCGCTCCTAACTCATCCGCTAGCTGGCTTGGGGAAAGCTTCCGGGCAAAAGTGCAGCTGGTACCCTCTATTGCCGAAGCCCCAGCAGACGAGCATCTCCATCCTGGATGTCTTCTCCCCGGCACTGCCCCTCTTCTGCTTCGTCACTTCACCGCTGCCCACAGGTCTGCCAGACTGGAGCAGACTTGCCCGATGATGGTAGGGCAGACCTGCCCCAGCAGCATCAGTAAGGCCACTTCTGGCATCAGTGTGACGCTTGGCTGACTAAGGCATCGGGGGAGCGATGGTGGAAAATGAAAGGAGATGGTGTTTCTCGAAGTTGTACAGTCCTTAAAAGGGCCGCACAGAAAACAACGCTACACAAAGGCAAGGACGGTATGCAAATGTGGGGAGGTTACACGCCAGATGGGAAGGCTCACACACGGTAGGGTAATTATACAACATTAGAGCACTTCAGGATTATACATATGAATGGTACGTGACAGTTGGGAGCACAAGTAATCATACTAACAAATATGTACAAGGGCTATATACAGGGCTGGCGAGCATGCCTGGATACTCAATCTATGCCGACATTACAATATTAATTGGAAGATTTCCAAAATAGTTGTGTTTTACCAGGGCCAGCTCGGGGTGGGGTCTGGTGCCCTAGCCACCCTGTCAGTTCCTTTACATTAAAAACATTTCGGTAGCACACGGTATCTGGCTGCTAACGAGCCAGCTGGCGCATGTTTCACACGAAAAGCGAAATGTTAGAACTAGTGTAAATAACTGTCATGTCACGTATTCTGACTTTTTTTTTTGCTCGCTCTATTGCGGCACCCAATCAAATGGCGCCCTAAGCAATCGCCTATATGTTGCCTATATGGCGGGCGTTTAATTAATGACGTAGGAGGTTATAGAATGAGATTTTCTATGGATGCCTTGTACTTAAGTTTTCAAAGTAAGTTTAACCCCTTAAATTGTAAATATACTGAAGACTATTTATACCCATGTGCTTAGGCATAAATTATGAGGAGTTGTAATCGAAATCAGCCAATAAAACCCCCTGGACCCCCTTAAATGCTCAACCCAAAGTTATACCCTCACCCATGTGCATCATCCAATCGCAGGAATGATTATGTTAAATGATGCTATTGCGTAATGTTAATATTTTACATTATATCTAGGTTGGGGTGTACCTAGAAATTCTGGGTCCCACGGGCAAGATGTCACCTTGGGACCCCCCACCCCCGGTGACGGTCCACAGGGTCCTCGGTCCTTTTGCCAAGCGCGGGGGGGTGTAAATCCCTCCCCGATATATTTGACCGGGAATAAAGTGCTAGATCCCCTAAATCTGCCAGTATCTCCATACCCGTCTGATGCCCTTGCGTTTATATATACTGTACACTGAAGGCTTAAAAATAAAGAGCGTGGCCTTGCAGTAGAAAGAGTAGAAGAGTGAAACTGTGCAGGATTGGAATGGAAATTAAAGTACAGTCAGGTAAGCTATTACGTAGCATTAAGGGTAAGTCCATGAAGCCCGGGATCGAGCAGTATAGACTATAACGTTTTCAGTCAGAGGCGCAGGATGAGCGCGGCGCTGCGGAGGCTCTGACGCTGGCGAACACGACCTACGCGTTGGGGGAGGTCCTGTCCGCCGATCCGCAAGAAAAGCCCTTTAGTTCGCCGTTAAAGATGGCAGAGGAGGTCTACGAGTCTGTGATCTGCGTGAAACCGGAGGTTCACGTCTACCGGATCCCTCCCCGAGCAAGTAACCGTGGCTATCGGTTAGTATTCGGCGTGTTTTTGTGGACGGGACCGAAAGTCAGTGGTCGCTGTGAGCAGAGACTAAGTTAAACTTATAGTGTGGTCAGTAGATGGATTGAGGAAGGAATGGTTTTCCCCTTAAGCAACATCCCCTTAGTAACGTTAAAATTCACAAATGCAATTAATCATTTCAGTTACGCAGAGAAATTGAAAATAAATCCATCTCGGTGTGCTTGCACATTGTGTATCACTTGTTAGATGGTAAGTACTGGTCCTCGGTTCGCTTCAAAGTTTAGCTAGCTAACCTGTAGAGTTTTATATTAACAGGAAGGCGATGTAACTTAGAGGCGACTGGCCTTCTGGGGGGACCGAGGAAGCTTCTTTTAGGGGTAAAAACTCTTCAATCGGTTCCGTCAGAAAAAGAAACACCTCAGACGACGTGTCGTATGATCACTGTCTAATACAGAAGCTCGCCGGACGGTTTCAGTTCTGCTGCGTTAAAATGAGGCGTACTGTTTTTAAGTCGGTGCATCTTTTATTACTCATACACTGGGATGTTTAGCTGACAGAGGACACCACAGACGTATTATTATGCGATTTTGTCCAAAATCGCCGTTCACCCCCTGTTATTTCTGAGTGCAATAACAAACAAAAAAACAATAATATTCCTATTCGATAAATAAGTACGGTGTCCGTTTTGGGCCATAATTGGCGCTGACTCTCACGTGTCACGTCTTCATTGACGCTCGCTGTCACTTGTTCCGTGTTTAACAATCGCCAGGTTACCCGACACCCGCCGCCCATCCGCTGGATGATCTTTTCTAAACAGGCCCCTTGACACACCTTGACACCCCAGGGACCAGAACCATTTGGCGCGGCTGCTTTTAAAAAAAGACCAAAAATAGTTTTCAACCGATATTTGGCAAGAATTGTTCTTCAATTAAATAAGTCGCCTCTGTATTACTGTAAATTGCAGTTGTAGTTCCCCTAAAACACAATGTAGGCTTTCTAGGTAGCTAAAGAATGCTTTTTGTAAATAATGGCACTTAGTCGGTAAATAATATTTTCACTATTTTACTGTACTTGGTCCGGGTCAGTTATTTCAAACGAAGCCTTTCCTGAAACTGCAGACTTGCATTATGCTCCCAAAGCGATGACAGTAAGCACCAAGGTACTTGCTAAGTACTGTCCTCCTCCTTCAATCTGTCACTGAGCGTTAATGCTGATAGTGATTAACTGGAT